AGCGGATCCGTGAGGATGTCAGGTGACAAAACGCTTAGAAGATGTGTGTACCATTCTGAATTGTCCCACATAAGCTGATATTCATCTGCAGACCATTGCTCCCAGAGCAGAAGCGTTTGTGCTGGTTTATAATTTGACCAGCATATTGCTCTTGTGAGTTTATTCAATCTATTCGGTGGTGGATTTGAGCATGGTGTTTTTTGTGGTTTCACATGAAGATTGATTAATTGAAGAATTTTATCATTTGTTAGTGTTGGACATTACACATTATATTTGAAACTTAAGGACTTTTTTGTGGTTTATAATTATTTATTTAATTTTTCAATTGGTAATTAATTAGCGCAAACCTTTTTTGATTTATTTTTATGCACTTCTTGTGAAGGTTGGGTTATACAGCTTTATATGTTTTGATTCACTAGTATTTTTTATTTAATTATAATTTTTTTCTCTTTTATTTTCTGGTGCTGTCCATATTCTGAATACTAAGTAACATAATGTTAGCATGAGTCCTCCTAGATTAGTGTCCACAACATCTCCATACTCAAAAGTCAACACATTTCATGAAGTCTACATGCTTCCTCAGGACTGGTTGGGTAGGTGTTGCTCTAAGCTGTGGAATACAACAGTAATATAAATATACAAAATATACACATTTCATATATCAATTTTACATATATTGAAATGTGCATAGCATGTTTGTTTGATCAGGATATGTGTAGGAGATGGATGGTTAAAAAGGTCCTGGGGCAGATGCAGGAGCATACATGGAGAGGGAAAGAATCACCCCAGGGATGGACCCCAGACGGACTAGTAGGCAGATCACAGAGTATACAGTTTCAGATTTAATAGAACTAAATAAGATACAAAATACAACATGGTAGGCAGTGTAATATATATTATCCCAGGTGGTAGATATTATAACATTCTTAGGTTTCAACTCACCACATAACACATTCTGGGACTGAGTCACCAATCCCTACTGGGCTGAAACTGAGCTATGAATACTGTTCACCAATATATAACATAATCTTGCTTGAAGAAGTAAAAATCAGAGGCTTGAATCAACTAAGCGGAGGCATAGAACTCCCATAGTAACATGGTCACAATAAAGGTGGAGTGGACTGAACTTTGTCTTGATGAAGGGACCCTGCATGACCCTGCAAAGTCACACTTACTTTGTAACCTTTATAGTGATAAAAAAGATCCTACTGCATAAAGGAAAAGGAATGCTGGTGGCATAACCTATTATGTAGAGTTTAGGGTAACAATTGCCCCCATGCATGTTATGTGCAATATGAAAATGGTACAGCATTTGTGCCATTTTGAATCTATACAAGTCATTTTTTCTTTTCAAATGTGTTTTTATATCTCAGTTTTTGGAAAGGCACTTTATTTTAACATCAACTTTTCGCTTCAAACACTCTTGAGAGTATAATGAATGAGTATGTTTAAGTTGTTTTCATTTTAACAAAGTGATTTTGCTCGTTAATTTTCTTTGACCCTTGAAGCTGCAGAATAAACCCACTTGAAGATATCAGAAGGCGCTGTAGGAGCAAAATTGTTTGATCTTCTAATTATATGTCAATTGTTCTGGTGCGTCATCTGGAGTGCTGATCATAGCAACAGATTGGCTGTTTTGTTGTATACTTCCTTACAACTTGTCTCACATTATTTTTGTAAAAATATCGTTTCCCAAGTAACCGCTTCATAATGGTTATCGTACAATGTTCTGCAATGATGACTTTGAGCATTGCTACATGAAATATTTTTAAGCAATGTGAGGTTGTGGGAAAATGTTAGTACATTCTAGCTATTTTCTAGATTTTTTTTGTGAAATGGTTCTTAAAATGCGTTTAGATCTGTATACATCATAACAATAATTATATAATTATAATTATATTGAGCTTGAAGTGAACATGTGCTCAGAAAACCAACTGTAATGTCTGCCAAACAATATTTTAAATTGTAAGCTCTAACGAGCAGGGCCCTCTGATTCCTCCTGTATTCAATTTGATTGTAACAGTACTGTTTGCCCTCACATTGTAAAGTGCTGCACAAACTGTTGGTGGTATAAAAATCCTGTATAATAATATTAATAATAACAGATGCCCACAGCATCTTCCATTGCAAAAGTCCTAAGCCCTATAACCTTGGAGAGAGGATTATGTCAGTGGTGACCAGAGAGGTAGCATAGTTGCACTCTGGCCCACCCCAAACTTTTGGCAGTTGAGGTTGTCTATCATATCTGATGGCCAACAGAGAGGTATGTGGATTCACCAGGTTTCTGGGAATAAATGACTGATGCATTCAGGGTGGTAGATGCCTAACTGGCTTTAACTATGCAATAGGATGTCACAAGTACACAAGAACTAAAAAGAAGTATATAGTTTTACATTTTTTACCTACTTAGCACACTTCAGAAAGATATTTTGAACCAAAGTATGTGCCAAAGCTTAGTGAAGCATTTTCTTTGCCTTGCATTCCACTGCACCAAGTGATATCTGCAATAAATGAAATGCTGCTGGCTAGAGGTGAGCTTCAGGTTTAGGTCAAGCTTGGTTTTAGGGCAAACCCAATCTGTTGACAGTTGACCTAGTGAACGAATGCATCCATTTGCTTTCATGGCAACCAGCTTCCAATAAAGCGGTGCCCATAGCAAAAAAGAAAAATAGTGGAGGGCAGACATGACTAGATGAATAGGGTAGGACAGACCATAAAGGGTTAAGGAAAGGTGGGAAGGTTGTAAAACATGTTAGGCTTACCTGATTGGTAGTGCAGGGTGGGTCTTCAGCACCTTTTCTGAGTGGTGTAGGGTCAGATGATCCAGTACAGGCATGACAGCGGAAGAAGAAACTTCAAGGTCCCCTTGGCGTGTGGTGAAAAACCTTTCTGGGGCCTCTGTATGGTAGATGGCAGACCTAGACCTCTTGTTGTCCCCATTGTGGGATGCAGCCGCTTCCTGGGGAACTGCCTGGCTGCAGGCCAGGTTTCTGCTCTGCTGGGGAACCAGGGCTCTGGGATGGAAGTGGGGATGTCACGAGCCTGTGGTAGTGAGCCCTTGTAGACCGCCAACTCAGGGTTCCCCAGGGTGCGGAGTCAATTAGATACGAAAGCTTGCCTCTGATGAATTTGGAATCCAAGATTTGCTTGACTATATACTGATCTGAAGTATTCACTATTGGGGAAGGATGATGGTGAGGACCGGAAAAACCTGTTGATGATGTACGGTCTCATAAGAGAAACATGGAAAACATTAGGGATTCTCAGATGTGAAGGGAGGCGAAGTTTGAAAGCAAAAGGGTTGACCTGCCGGAGGATGGTAAATGGACCAATAAAACTAGGAGCAAATTTCATAGAGGGTACTCGTAGACAGATATTCTTGGTAGAGAGCAAACCTTGTCACCAGGGAGAATTTTGGGACTCACCCAGTGATGACAGTCTGCAGCTACTTTGTACTTGGAATCTGACATATGTACGTTCTTGGAAACATTTGCCTCTGAAGGAGTAAGAATGGTAGAACATAAGACAGGAAGCTGGGCTGGAGCAGACACCAATAACCAGGATGAAGGGTCTGGTGAGGAGGTTGCCAGGGAGGACACAGGAGGGTGTATGGGGGCAGGAAAGGGGACATAAGGCACTGTAGCTACTAATGTGGAAACCACAGCTGGGTCCAAAGCAGCTGAAGGGAGTAGGGGTATTGGGGTCTCAGCAGACAGGGCACATGAAGCTGGGAACTCAGATGGCACAGAGGTCACAGATGTTGGGGCCTCCACATATCCAGAAAGTAGCGAAATAGGAGCCCTGAGCTGCACAGTATGTAAAGGGACCAATGGTTTGGGCAGCAAAGAGGGTAAGGAACTAGAGGTGGACTGCACTGGAAGGGGGCCTGCAATAGGAGTAGGCAGGGAGCAGCTTTATTACAAAAGACTTCTTGGAAGGCCAGACAATGTTGAGGCAGCATAGAAGAGGTGGTGGTGGCCTCAGCCACAGGTACAGTACGAGGTGGGAGCACCTTAGGGAGACAAGTCCGATTGCATTTTGGCCCCCAAGACAATACTTGGCCAGAGTTCCAGTCAAGATAGGTTGAGTGTTTCTGTAACCATGGAAGTCCAAGAATGATGGGACTTGAAGACTTAGGGAGGATCAGGAAGGAGATTTCCTCACAATGAAGCGCTCCAACATGCATAGTTATGGAGGTGGTTTGGAAAACGTAGAGGTCCTAAGGCCAAGGTAGAGCCATCAACTGTAGATACTGATTGGGGTGTCATCAAGGGGACAAGACGAATGCCCAAATCAGTGTCCAAAGATTGCTCGATAAAGTTCCCCAGAAGTCCCAGAAACCTGGTACGAGTTCAGGGCCCAATGAATGGAGACAGGTATGATAAATCAAGGGAAGGTGGTGGAATTCAGGTTCTGATCTAGATCACCTCCCTCAGAGTGACATAGATATGAGAGTTTCCCGGACGGACAGAACAGGACTTAATTATATGACCTTCAGCCCCACAGTAAAGGCATAGACCAAATCTTAGGTGACGCAATCGCTCTTGTGGAGTGAGGCGTGTTCAGCCTAGCTGCATAGGCTCTTCAGATGCCGATACGGTTGCAAAGGTAAGTTGATCAGGGGTTGTCTGGAAAACGAGCAAATGAACCCACTGGGCCCTTTCCAGATTTTGCTCCTGGAAGTGGATATCGATTTGGATGCTTAGAGCAATCAAGTCATCCAGAGTGGTGGGTATGGTTCTTCTAGCTAGTTCATCCTTAATACTATCTTCTAGACCCTGCCAAGTGGTTGCAGTAAGGGTCTCATTATTCCATGCCAGTTCCGAAGCTAAGGTGCGAATCTGAACTGCATATTGTCCAACAGTCATGCTACCTTGACAAAGCCGAAGAAGAGCTCCTGCGGCAGATGAAGTTCTGCCGGGCACATCAAAGGTTTTACGGAAAGCATGCAGGAAGGCTGAGAGGCTGCAAATAGTTGGATCTTGATGCTCCCACAGTGGCGAGGCCCAAGCCAATGCTTCACCAGAAAGAAGGGAAATCATGTATGCCACCTTGGAATGGTCAGTAGAAAAATGGTGGGCTGCTAGTGAATTGAGCACTGATTGATGAAGCCCCGACAAGCTTTGGGATCACCAAAGAAGTGAGGCGGTGGAGGCAGCTGATGTTTTGAGTGACTGTGTTCCACTGGAAGAACAGCAGGGGTTGAAGCAGCATGAACCGGAGCAGGAGCTGAAACAGAGGGTGAGGAAGTGGACACAACCTGCAGCTGATTCAACTGGGAGGAAAGTTCCTGCAGACACTGCATAATACGTTCCTGATAGGCCTGCTGGACATCAACTCTCTGCGCCAAACACTGGAGTTGTGCCAGGAGAGGCTGCGGGGTCTCCGAGGAGCTCATGGCCTTAGCAAACTGTCACAAACCTGTGGTAGTGAGCCCTTGTAGACCGCCAACTCGGGGTTCCCCAGGGCGCAGAGTCTAAGCCCCATCCTGCTTCTTCACCAGAGCCCATGATGGTGGGGATGAACTTGCAGCAAGCTGGAACCAGGTCACAGCCCCAGGTACGCCCAGCTGAGGATGCAGAGACCAATCCAAAAAGAGTGTAATCCAGGAGACAACAGGGAAGCCAATAGATGGTCAGGACGGGTGGAGCTCAGCACAGTCAGTGGACTAAGCCAGGGTCGGTGCATGGGTAGTTAGATACAGGATACAAGCATAGAAAACAGATAGGAGCTCAGAGAACTAAGATGTTGCTCAGGCAAACTGGGCTAGACTGAGCATGTTTATATAGACAAGCAAATTAGGAAGCGGGCCAGGAAGTGATGGAAGGGAAGGAAATAAAACCCAGAGAAGAGAAGACAACGTCCATAGGTGAGCACAGACAAACCACACATGTGAAAGGAATCAGGAGCAACACTGCAGGCTAACTTTTGACGAGGGGGCGGGAGATCCCACACGCAGGTCAAGGCATCCAGAGCATTTCAGCCCGGAACCCACCCCCAGAGCTTGGCGCAAGCATGGGAGCTTCAACAGGGACCCTAAAGGCCTGCCAGTGGGGTGCTCTCCTGTCTCTGCTGGTGGTGTGTCCGGGAGGAACACCCATTCATGGCGAAGCTCAGAGGGCGGGGGGACCTCGTGGTGTTAGTCCATCCCCCCCGCCCACTCGACGGACTTCACACAGCAGCTCAGACTCCTTCCTGATGAGGTGCCTGTCAGGAAGGAGGTCCAGCGTGGGAGACAGTCTGCTGAGGCTTTCGGGCTGTCCCCTCCTGTGGCCGGCGGCCCCCCTGCCTTGTCGGGAGCCTCTGCAGGGATGGCCAAGAAGAGGAGCAGTGCTGGGCTTAAAACAGCTGGGTGCTCTGCTGGCAGAAGGTCCGGGACTTGGGTGGGCAGTTCTGGTGCTGGGAGGCGGAGTCAAGCACAGCACAGACCAACAGGCTCCAGGGCTCCTGGGCCTGGGAGGCCTCCTGTTCAGCGAGGGCATGTGGACCACTCCGTTGCGGACGTGGGTACTGCCTCTGCCCCCCAGGTGGCAGACATCAGTACCACCCCATTGGGGACAGATGCTGGCTTGCGGGATTTGCTTTCCGGGTTGCGGGTTTTGCTGCAGCATTTTGAGCGGTGTTTTGGTGACCGCTCCGGGCCGGAATTTACCTTCAGCTTTGAAACATCCTGTGGTGGTTTCTAATAAGTTGTGTAAGGAAGTGGCTTTTGTCTGCATGGGTGGTCCATTTCCGAGCACTCTTTTGGATTTTGACAGATTTGGTGGTCTCCCCTTGGAGGTGGTGCCCAAAAAGGAGCCCAATGCGTTCTGGCTGATTCACCGTCTTTCCTTCCCGAAAGGGGGGTCAGTCCATGATGAGTCGTGTACGGTGTTGTATACTTCTTTCAATACAGCATTTTTTTGGAAGGGCGGGGTGCTTTCATGGCCAAATCTGACATTGAATCGGCATTCCTGCTGCTGCCGGTTCACCCAGACAGCTTTCATTTGTTGGGGTGTCGCTGGGCAGGGCGCGTTTTATGTGGACCGGTACTTTCCATGGGGTGTTCCATCTCCTGTGCGTTGTTTGAAACGTTCAGCTCCTTTGTGGAGTGGGTGATGCGGGATGTCTCTGGAGTGAATTCCGTCATCCATTACTTGGATGATTTTCTCTGTGTGGGACCGCTCGCTTCCAACGTGTGTGCCATTCTTCTGGCGACTCTGTAACATATTGCTGAGAGTTTTGGGATTCGGCTGGCTTTGGAGAAGATGGAGTGCCTGGCCTCAGTGATCAGTTTCCTGGACATTGTTTTGGATTCTGGCATTATGGAGTGTCGTTTGCCTGAGGACAAGCTGTTGGCCCTCCAGATTGAAATTCGGGGGGTCTTGGGTAAGCACAAGATCCAGCTTCGTGCCTTACAATCCTTGTTGGGCAAGCTGAATTTTGCATGTTGTATTATGCCAGCGGGTCAGGTGTTTTGCCGACGGTTGTCGGCATCGATGTCGGGGGTCATCTCACCCTCTCATTTCATTCGCTTGACTAGGGATCATAGGGCGGACTTGCGCGTCTGACACACAGTTTCTTGAATTCATTTAACAGCGGGTCGCTGTGGATGTCTGGCCCAGTGAGCAATTTTGATCTGGAGCTGTTCAGGGATGCGGCCAGTTCCACGGGATATGGGGCCTTCTTCCGGGGTCGCTGGAGTGCGGCTCCGTGGCCGCCGCCTCGGCGGCGGCTGTTTTTTTTTCAGAATTTGGTTCTATTGCAGTTCTTTCTGGTTGTATTGGCAGTGGAGGCTTGGGGGCAGTCTTTTCGGAATCTGAAGGTGCGCTTTAACTGAAATAATCTGGGAGTGGTTCAGGTCATTAGTCGCATCTCGGCTTCTTCACTGCCTGTAATTTGCTTACTTCGCCATTTGGTGTTGCGTTACCTTCAATTGAATGTATTTATCTATGCTGTGCACCTCTGTGGGGTTGATAACGCTTTGGCTGATGCATTGTCTCGTTTTCAGTGTTCCGAGAGTTGGCACCATCAGTGGAGCAATGCAGGGTTCCTTGTCCCGACTGGCTGTGGGAGATTGCTTTGGGGTTGTCACGGGATGGATATGGCTTTCGGTGAGTGAGGCTACATGGTCCTACTCCCAGGGTATGGCTTGAATGGCTGGAATTGTTGCGACATGCCGACCTTGATCCGTGGCTACCGGATGTACGGCTCACTGTCTTGTATTTTGTTGCTAGGAACTTTAAGCGGGGTGTGTCTGCGGTGGCCCTAGATCGGCGGTTGGCCAGTTTGGCCTCTTTCTTTAAATTGCAAGGTTGTCAAGGCTTCACAAAAGACTTTTGGGTCTTGCAGGCTCTCAATGGTTATCACAGGGTTCATAGGCGCAGGGATACGCGGTGTCCGGTGTCTTTTGCTTTGTTGCGTACTCTGCTTGAGCACTTGGGGTATTTGTGTTCTTCTGTATATGAGGGTGGTTTTAAATGGCATTTACGGTAGACTTTTTTGGGGCCTTGTGGATTGGGGAGCTCATTAGCCCTTCTAAATTGGTTCACGGGGGATTGTTGATGCAGGATGTCATCTGCAATGCGGAGTGGGTTGAGGTGCTCATCAGCCGGTTGAAAATGGACCGGTTGGACCTTGGCATGCGCAGGTGCTGTTCTTTGCTATTCCAGATTTGCCCTTGTGCCCAGTGAGTGCGGTCCGGGGTTATCTCTCCAGCCGTCCAGCTCTGTCTGGGTCCTTTTTTGTGCATGCTGATGGGTCTCACTTGTCCCGTTTTCAGTTTGTGTCTGTTTTTTGAAAGTGCCTGATGACTGCTGGCCTGGATGCGTCCCTCTATACCTCACATTCCTTTCGCATCGGGGCGGCCACGGAGGTTGCCCGGTGGGGTTTGGATGAGGAAGTTGTAAAACGTATTTGGGAGAAGGGAATTTCGTAGATTTCACCTTTACATTTGTCCTCATTTATTGACGGACTAAGGAGGTCCCGTGTGTTTGCTGGGGTTCAGGTTTGTTCTTCATGTGTTGTGCGTTTTGTGGTTGTATTTGTTGTCCTTTTGTTTTCCAGGTGGTGCGGTCTGCCTTGTGTGGGGACCAGGCGCGCTGACATGTGGCCCAATGGCAGGCAGCTCGGTTTTTTCTAGGCAGTCGGCTTGTGTCCACTGGATTGGGGTGCCTGGCAGGTTGTGGGGCCGGGTGCTCTCCTGGACAGGTTGCCGGATGTGCTGTTGGCCCACGTAGGTGGCAAAGACTTGGGGGTTAGGTCCATGAGAGAGCTTATTGGGACGTCAAGTTGTATTTCCTTCAGTTACGCAGGGCATTTCCGGACCAGGGGCGGACTGACCATTTGGGAACTCGAGCACTTCCCGAGGGCCTGGGGTCAGTGGGGGGCCCCATGAGATGCCCCTGGTACCTTTCATAGGCTTTTTTGGGTGTGGTTTGAGTGTGGGTGATGACACAGGGGCCCCATGATCCCCTATTGCCCGGGGGCCCCATGAGTTGTCAGTCCGCCCCTGTTCTGAATACGATTATAGTGTGGTCTTACATTGTCGTCCACACTTCTTGGCATTTGGCTAGATCGGTGGAGCTGCTTAACAATGCCCGAATTAAGGTTAATAAGGAGTTGGGTAGGTTTGTGATCTGTAACGGGGGTCTGGTTGTTCGGCATTTGGAATTGGAAGTTGACATTTGGCGCTACCTTCATGGTGATGGTGGGGACAGATATGTGGTCCCTTGGCTTAAAGGATGGCATCCAGCGAGTGTGTGGCTGGGCATGCATGGGTAAGGGCTTACCCAGCATGATGTGGCGGTTGTTGGTCTTTGGAGGCGGCAAATAATTTGAAGCTAAAGTGAATGGTTGGGACCCATCTGTGGTATGGTGTGCCCGGGTGCATTCCAGTTAACCAAGGTTCAACTGGAAGGTGGAGGTTATGCACTGCGGATTGTGTGTTTTGTCTCTGAGCCGGTTGTTGCGGCTGGAGGCTTAGTATTAATATTATGGTTTTGGTTCCACAGGGGGATAACGGTATTGTTTTGTGCCTTGTAAGACCAACAACTTTTTACTGTTATGTTTCTGTTTTAAGGAATGTTTTGTGTTGTTTAAGTTGAATTGTTAATAAAAGGCCATGATGGCCATTTTACTCCAACAGTGGTTTGGTCTCCTTCATTGGTATAATTAGAGTCCAGTGGGGGGGGGGGGGGGGGGGGGATATAGTGTGAAAGAGAGAAAGTTGTGTAGGAGCATGGTTCAGTAGCTATAATCTTAACTAGCACATCTGTTCTACACTAGTCATGCACCCCTTGGTTTCTGGTTTCTGGATTTTAGGTCAGGTCGCTTAGAATGCTATATTGACAATGTGCTTAGCTGGGATAGGAAAAGCATAAGGACAGATTAGTGTAGCTCATATAGACACTGGTAAACACAAACTGGATGAACTTTAGGGGCAAAAAAAAATGTTTTGTATCTTGGGTATTTTGGAGGTGGGGAGGGAAGAACTTTACGTGTTGCTGATGTGTGTCCCTGTAGCCTCTTTACAAACTCTTGATATGCATTGCTTACAATCATAACAAGCTAAGTGCATGCTTTCAAAGTTACTATTAATAGTTTTGTCATTTTAATTTTTTCACTGTCTTTCCTTGAGTCCACATGTATTTCAGTGCTAAGTGGCTCATGTTTATTTTCACGGGACATATTTCCGAAGTGTTCCTGTTTGCAATTTTTTTTAAAGGCCTATTTTGTAAAAACAGTATAACATTCTTGGGTAGTGTGCATCACCACAGTCACTTTTTTTATTTGGGAATGCATTTGATAGGGTGATTTGAAGGCAAGAGATTGTTAGACAGGGAATAAGCATCATCACTTGTACAAAAACATGGCAACCACCCTAACCTTTAACTAACCTTTGCAGCAATGTGCACATGAAAGGGCAACACACAAACAAACAAAACATTTTCCAGT